GGGGGGGGGAGGAGGAAGAGAGAAGGAGGGAGAGAAGGAAGCAAAGGTGTTCCCAGCTACGGCACAAGCGTCCAAGGACACACCAAAAGGAAGGGCTCCCAGCTATGACGAAAGCATCCAGGGACGCCCACGTAAGAGGGCGAAGAGAGGAAAAAGAGAAGGAAAGAAAGAGAGAGGGAGAGAAAGGAAGGTGTTCCCAGCTACGAACAATCGTCCAGGGACACACCAAAGAAAGAACGGGGAGATCCTGAGTATTACATTCAGGAACACCCCAGGAGAAGGGGGGCTAAGTTCTCCACAGGTTCCATCACCTTGCGCCCTGCCGAAATGGCTGGCCGCTTTGACCGCTGCGGTCACGTAAAGGCATGAGCCAACTTGGAATTCCAAAGACGAGACAAACATCCCAATTCTTGAGGCATAAGCCACCTACGCTCGCTGCGAGCTGCTCTGTATCCAGGCAGGGGATACGTTCGACAAACACCCGCTCGACGGGTCCACGGGAGGCACTCTGCGGGCTCATCCCGGGTTGGCACGAGGCCAAACACACTTATGGATATGCGTACTGACTTGATAGCGGTGCCACACGCCGGCCTAGGGTTCCAATTCCTAAGGGTACAAGTACGAACCACTGGATCCTGGAGGTCTTCAAGAGGAAGTAGGGCCAAAAAGAGGAAAACGAACGACGAGCCGACAAGGTGACGTCGTAGCGTGCAAGTCATGTCAGGAGGTTCTAGGCTTAGCCTCATGCCATTCGGAAACGGAAAATTGCATGTACGTCCAGCTGGCCAAGCTGGATATCCCATTTCACTGGTAGCTTCGTTGGACACAGTCCCAGTGAAATGCTGTGTCCCCCTGCTGTAAAATCCAAAGCAAAAAACCAAGGCAAAACAATCCGAAAGGATCCCTCCAAGGGTTACACACACACTCTCTCTCTCTCTCTCTCTCTCTTGCATCTCTTTATGTTTGTTACAGTAGAGCAAGACTATTGCCCAAATAGAAGAACGCTCCAATTGCATTTAGGCCGTGGAAAAAGAACTCCATACATACATATACATCTGCACAATGGTTAGTATGGCGACTTCGCACTTGAACTCACCAGTGTAACTTCCCTGTCACAGCCTTCTTGGAAGAGCTTGTTGCCCATGTCCTTGGCCTGTAGCTAATGAACGGTGCTACATTGCTATATCTTCAGGAAATCATTCCCGGCACTGACTGCCCCTTTCTCCCTTGACTTCTATCAAAGCACATTCATATTGTTTCGCCAAATTCGTCCCAGGCATGAAGGGTTTGACAGTGTCTATCAACATCCTAAAGCAGGTATCTGGCATCGAACAGCATGAAAAGCATTACCAGGCTGTAGGGTTTTTCAGGTCCGCCCGTTCTGTCTTCAACTTCAGCCCAAGTGAGCAGGGTTTCTTCGTGTCCGTGAAGTATGATGAATTATGTGTGTTGCGCCTTCTCTGCTCCTGCAACAGTATGCCTCGCAGCGCAGTGAAGCCCATGACTTTGTGGTGTGTGAGAAAGGCAACACAGGAGATGAGATTCCTGACCTGACCTGAAAGGGACTTTGAATCCACTCTTGGGCTGAGTACTTCGGAAGCAAGCACTATAAGCACCCAAGTTGAGACATCGCCGGGCAAGAGACTGTGCTTGACATGACACCGACAGACTTCTCCAGATCCGTCTTGCGAGCACAACCGCTGCACAGAGCTCAATGTCCGCTAGGGCTTCCAGGCTCGAGCTCGATGTCCGCAAAGGGTTCGGCCGGTGCCTGGCAAATTGCACTGTTCCTTTGAGTCGGTATTCTGCCTTGCAATTCCAAGAATCACTTTGAACAAATGACAACGCATTTTCCAAGCACATTTTGCTGCGTTCAAGTCAAGTCCAAGTGCTTGAGGCGCTATCTTTGATAGCAATCTTTCTCCCTGGCCTCTATGGCAGCCTCGTTCGGCTTGGCCTCAGCCACGACCTCCTCCTCCTCCTCCTCAAGAGCGCGAATTGGATACTCTTGGATGCTCGGATCGCAGCAAAAGCCGCAGAAGTGCAGGCCTGGAGCACTTTGTTAAATCTTCTCAGATTCCTAAAGGGTCCTGAGGATTGAGCAGCAGAGAGGCCTTGCATCCATTTGACAGCAGCTCTAATCATGTCCCCACCCCAGAATATCTCACAGTGGTGAAAGCCTGAAAGCCCTGATCTTTCACTTCTTGAAATGATTTCCTTCATTCCATGCACTCATCTCATTCCATGCACTGCTTCGGTCCACTTCTTCAGTCCTCTTCACTGGCCTCGACAATCTCCATCCGCTTAAAACCTGGCGGCTCCCATCCTCCGCCGCCCCCGTCTCTGCCCGCCCCATCCTCCCCGCCTCGGGGCGTCTCCACCTTCGGCTTCAACGCCTGCAGTCGTCTTTGAAGGGCCAAGAGCTCCTGGAGTCGACCAGCGTGTTGAAATCCTTGCTCCTAGTAGCTTGTTC